ATGTGGACTTGGACACCTGGGCGCCTTCTGTCACCAGACACTCCACCGTAAATGCCAGCCAAACCACAAACTTGAGTTCCTTTGTTCATAAGATTGCACCACATAAATGTGCCAGTTGAGAAATCATAGAGAATCCACTTGCATATCACAACTCCAAGTTCTTTTCAGCATCAAGAGTCTTATTCCCCAGCTTTGGAAATTTACGAGTTTGAAAAGGCAATCTTAAGTCTCTCTATGATAATGGATCACGAGTTTAACACCACCATGGAAACTTTGAAAATACTCCAGTCAGAGATTAACAGCCAAGCCACTGCGGTCCTCCAAAATCGACCTGCTGTGGACACACTGACTGCCCAGCAAGGAGGAGCTTGTGCATTCATCAGAGAAAAATGTTGCTTTAATGTGAACCCAACAGGGCAAGTAGCATGTAACTTACATCTATTAAAAGAGAAGATTCACATTTTCCGTCAGATGAATGAAGCTAACCCATTTTATTGGACTGACTTATTCTCAGGATCAGGAACTGGTTTAATGGTGTCTGAGGAGATGGGCACCGATGTCTTCCTTCCTGTTTGTTCATCCTGATTCTAATCTATGACCTTTTCTCCCTTTGCAGATTCCTGACCACTCGGCTACTAACTCATTTTCTCTCTCCACAGTCACCAGCTCAGCTTTTAACATGGGAAACTTCCAGGGACATTTCAGTGGAGGGAACTGATGGGGCTCAGGGCAGGCCACCCCAAGATGTGCCCCCCGGGTATGCGGGCTATTTTGAACTGAAAACAGTCAAGGCTCAGAAGATTCTGGAAGAACATTTGACTTTCCCCCAAAGTGAGTAAAAGGATTTAGGACAGAAGGGTCTGTCTCACTGATAAATACCTGAAAAGCAATAGGATATATTGGAGTATATGAGGAAGCCATTTGGCTTAAAACTGATTTGGTCTGACCTTGTTTCCCAAAAAGGGCCTGACATGGCCTGTTGAGCATGCATTGTACATCTGGTTTAAATATTTACTATGTCCCAGAGACAAGAATGATGCCTTTAAAGTTAGGGATGTAACTTCCCCCATATGGGCATTTCTTTAAGGACAAGCATCTCTTCCTAAACTAAGGATTACTTACTGACCTGCTGTGCTCACCTTAAGATCACTGACCTTCTGTGTTCACTGATCTGTTGTGCCAGGAATCCAATCTCATGACTATTGTAAAAGGGACATTCCTGTCATATATGAAGCATGTTCCAAGACGGTATATAACCACTTCGTACACCAACGTCTTTGATGCCCTTCCTTCTTTAAGGAAGGAAGGTCCTGGGCTAGTCCTCAGCTCTGGCACATAATAAATTCACTCCAATTTTGATTTATAGATCGACTATAGATTATTCATGTCAACACCAGGAAGGAGCTCTTACCATGGATAATTCTAGATGTGGTAGGCAGGTAGGCCCCTAGCAAGGGCAATATATCAAAAGATCTCTTTTGGGTCCCATTGTGTATAGATGGGACAATGCAATCCTTTGTTTACCAAATATGAACTCTCTTCATCTTCCTATAAATCGCCTTGTCCCTCTTTGAAGTCTCAGACCTCTATCTCCCTCTCCTTAGTCCAAAAGGACGTATATACCTCAGTTTGCCTGACTGTCTTTGGAATTTTTCATGCTTATGTGAATTCCCCATGTACGTGTATTAACGTCTGTCTGATTTTCTCCTGCTAATCTGCCTTATGTCATTTGTAATTCTTTGACCAGCCATAAGAACCAGAAGGGAAAAGGGGGGAGATTCGGTCTCTTCCCTTACACCTTCAATTGGTAAAAAACAAAATATCTTCAAAGCACAATAAAAGGAGGTATGCCTGTAATATGTGCTGTGACTTTGTCAAATTAACATTTGTTAGGTAGAGCCCTGGGGGTGTTGCATGCTGAGTCTCTGTTCAACAGAAGACTGCAAAGGAATTGAAATAGAGAAGTTTGTTACTCACGGGTCCTGGAGAAAGTCCACAGCACACCTCAGAGGAGCCACATGGGGAGGTTAAGGCAGAGTGCAGGCAGAGCAGGGGAGGACCTGCGGCATGAGCCTTTATTGGGGACCACAGGCAGAGTCCTTGGGGTTCCTGGGCTAAGTCAGGATTGGTCAATATAAATGAAAAAGAGGTTCTGGTAATGTTCCCAGGGGTCTTATCTAAGGGGCACACAGGGAGAAGGCCCTGGGAGGCGGGGAGAGTGCTTCTCACAAGGGCAGTTGTAGGAGTCATATCAGGAACTGACAGGAACTCTGACTCTGCTGGTGGTTATCTAGGGCGCGCACTCGGGAGAGGCCAGTGTCACTTCAAGGTCCCTGCAGGCCACTAGGCTACACATTATGGATGCTGAGGCAGCAATGGTATGGAGTAGTTTAGCTAAACTTCCAACAAACTCTTAGAAGAAAATATAGGAGTAAATTTTCATGACCACAGATTAGGCAATGGTTTCTTTTTTCTCTTTTTATCTTTATTGAGGTAACATTGGTTTACAACATCACATAGCTTTCAGATGTACAACACTGTAATTCAACAACTATATACACTGCAGCCTTCTCACCACCAAAATATAGTTACCATCCACCACCATATAATTGACACTTTTTACCGATTCTTCCCTCCCCTGAATGGTTTCTTTAAATATGACATCAAAATTCAAGCAACCTAAGAAAATTGGACTTATAAAATTGGCTCTATAGATAAATTGGATTTCATCAAAATTAAAAACTTGTGTGCTTCAAAGGATACCATCAAGAAAGTGAAAAGAGAACAATCCACAGACTGGGAAAAATATTCGCAAATCATATATCTGATAAGGGGATTGTATCCAGAATACAGAAAGAACTCTTACAACTCAACAATAAAAAAGATAAGTAGCCCAATTTAAAAATTGGCAAAGAATCTGAATACGCATTTCTCCAAAGAAGATATAGAAATGCCCAACCAGCACATGAAAAGATTCTTGACATCATCAGTCATTAGGGAAATGCAAATCAAAACCACAGTGCGATGCACCCCCCAGGATGTCTACAGTCAAAAGTCAGAGAACAAGTGTTGAAGATGATGTGGAATGATTGGAACCCTCATACACTGCTGGTGGGAATGTAAGATAGCGCAGCTGTTTTGGAAAACCACTGGGCAGTTCCTTAAAATGCCAAACTCAAGGTTAGTGTATGATCCAGCCATTCTGCCCCTGTGTATAATTCAAGACATGAAAACGTGTCCATGCAAAAACTTGTATGTGAATTTTCATAGCAGTATTACTCATGATAGCCCCAAAGTAGAATTCCCCTGAGGCTGATGGCAGTTTGGTAGGACCCTTAGCCAGAAATTGGAGTGCAACTGCATTTTTGCCCAATTGTATATTAGGACCTCCTACCTGATTATTAAGTCAAGCCCTCAGGATGCTAAACAAGCTTGGTAAGATTCTGCAGATCCTTGTAAACATTTACAGCTTCTGGAATCTTTAGGTACTGAAGGTGGTGAGCTCAACTCTTTAAAGAACTTTCTCTATTGCCTGGCTCTTAAAAAGGAGCCCCAAAGTGGCCACTGTAATTTTAAATCATCCGGGGTCATCTTGCCAGCTGTTTATGGTTATCCCTATTTTAGGGTGCCTTCTCCAAAGTGGCCACAACAAACAAGGTAATTTCTAAAGAAGGTTTGATATGATCACCAAGAAACTCAGTCCCCAAACAGCCTATGCAATACAGACAAACATTAACACACAATACGATTCTACATATAACACAGACCAGAACACTAGCTAGTTTTTCAGAAGTGACTCAGAATCAGTGCCAGGAGCTACTCAAAACCAGATGGTCAGGGGCAGTTTACAACCAGAGATGTCTTAATCCAGAAGCTATTTCTTCTCCCAAAAGGAAAAAAAACACCCTTGGGGTCTGGAGCACTGCAGTAAGAAATGGGAATCCAATCAGTTGAGCCTCCAGACAAAATTGTCTAGGCAGCCACCTAGGGCGTATGAAAAGACCCCATACCCTGCTGGGGGTTCCAGAGACTTGGGCAGGCAGTAACAGGACCTTGTCCCTTCATGGTCACCAATTGTTACTGCACAAAATTGGAGTTTTCTTGCCTGATGTGCAGAAACGGTGAACTAATTATAGAATCAGCCTTTGGGGGAGAAATAAGCTTTATTCTGAGACTCACCTGCAGGAAGTCAGGAGGTGTGCGCCCTCAGATCTGTCTCCCTGAATCAGGATTAGGGGCAAAATTTAAGAGGTTAGGGAGAACAGGGTGGCTCGAGGAAATGCTAGTGGGACAAGTTTTGATTGCTGGGCTTCAAACATTTATGGTAAGGCTTTAAACATTTATGATGAGGTTCTAAATTTTTATGATAGGGCTCTAAATATTTATGATGAGGTGGGGAAGGAATTTTAACACTGGATCTTCCTAAACGAGGGACCCCTTGCTTCTGGTAAGAGTCCAAATTTCCAGTTCTGGTAGTGTCCCCGTGGTCCTTTTGGGTCCGTGGTGAGGAGAATCTTTGGTTTCTCCATCACAGTGTCAGCTTAGGGTCAATCTTCCTCATCAAAAAAAAAAAAAAAAAAAAAAAAAAAAGGCAAAAAGCGCCCCATAGTGGGGAACTGGCGAGAAACAGTTGTGCAGAATGTTGATTGCCCTTCCTCCTATAGCCATTTATTGAGTGCCTACAGGATGCCAGGCACTGCGCTGGGTGCTGCTACCTAAGGTACAACGACCGAGGCAGCCCAGCAGGGAAGCCGTGATCGAAAAGGAGCGGGTCTCAGCGGTCGGCCACGTTTTCCCCTACAGCTAACAGACAGTCCAGCGGGTACACGTCTGCGGACCGAGGGACCGAGGGGAGACGGAGCCGGCCCTGCCCTCCGGGGTCGGACTGCCAGGAAAGGAACTGTCAGAGGGGCAGGTAGAGGTCACTGTGGGCGCGCCCGTGGGGCGGGGCTGGGGAACGGGACTTGGGCAGGGGACAGGGGGCGGGGACAGGGGCCTGGCGGGGAGCGCGCTTTCCAGCGGCGGCGCAGATGGCGGCTCCGGGCGCAGGGCAGGGGCCGGGGGCGTCACCGGGGCTGGAGGCGGCCCTGCAGAAGCTCGCGCTGCGGCGGAAGAAGGTGCTGAGCGCCGAGGAGATGGAGCTGTACGAGCTGGCGCAGGCGGCGGGCGGCGCCATGGACCCCGATGTGTTCAAGAGAGCGGGTGCGGGCGGGGCTGCGCGCTCGGCGACCCCCGACCCTCTAGCTCTCCCCCGCACTGCCCTTGTCGGACCCCCTTGAGGCCCAGGGTAGAGGCGGGGTCTTGAGGGAGGCGGCCACGCCTGCCCGCTCTGGCCGAGCAGCCTGGCCCGGGCGAGGAGGCTCCTTGCGCAGCGCGTCTGTCTCTCCAGGATCCTGCTGGGCCTGCTGAAGCTGAACGTGGCGCCCCTCGCCGTCTTCCAGATGCTCAAGTCCATGTGTGCCGGGCAGAGGCTGCCGAGCGAGTGCCAGGCCCCCGCGGCCGTGTCACTGCCCACATTGAGCGCGCCTGAGACGAGAGGTCAGAGTTGGGACCGGTGCTCCCTGCCCCTGTGGCCCCGGCGGCGAGGTGGCGGGGGTTTGGGGGTGGGGATGGAGGGGGCGGCAGCGCCCAGCCCTGCGCCGGCTTGGCCTTCAGTGGCCAGGCCTTTCTGCTGGTCTTCTCCCAGGACCCGCTGGGTCAGCCAAGGGCTCGCCCCTGGGGCTCCGGTCTCCAGCTTCGGCTTTGCTGCCGCCCTTGAGAGAGCACGTGCAGATTGGGTGGCCGCAGAGCGGGTGCCCCAGGGAGGCCCAGTGGGCTAGGCTTCATCTGGGGCTTTTGCTGCCCCAGCCTCTTCTCACCTCTGGGCTCCTGCCTTCATCCCACAAACAAGGGAACGAGACCTCTTTGGTCTTTGGGGGCTCGGCCCTGCACCTCCCGCCCTGGGGTTACACCCTGCTGCTCCTGCTCAGCTCCATCGTGTTTCTGCTCAGTCTCCTCGTCCTGTGGGCCCACCAGCAACAGCGCCGGCAGGACATTTCAGGTACTTCCTCCAGCCAGCACCCCTCACTCTCAGCCCAGCCAGCTCCCTTCGCCCCTTCCTCCTCTGCTGTGGCAGGATGCACCAGGGCTCACGGGGTGGGGAAGGCCGGTACCCCATCCCCCTCTTTCTGCATGGCAAGTGGGCCCTTGATTCCAGAATCCGCAGAGGCAGAGAAAGGCTCCGTGGACTCCCGAGAAATCAGGCCCCAGGCCAGCAGCCCCTCCCTGCAGCCCAGCAGCCCTGCCCTTGTCCCCTCAGGTTCCCATGGTGCCCCTGACTCCAGCCCTGAGCATCCTCCTCAACGTCTTCCTCATGCTGCATCTGAGCTATCTGAACTGGCTGCGCTCCTCCGTCTGGCTGCTGATTGGTGAGTAGGGACCAGGCTGGGACCCTGGGTTGGCTGCAGGAGGAAGCAAGCACGGAAGCTGGGCTGGGACCTGCCCCTCAGGCTTGTGCCATCCTTACAGGACTTGTGGTGTATTTTGGCTATGGCATCTGGCACAGCAAGGAGAACCAGCAGGAGCTGCCGGGGTTGACTGCCACACGTGGCAGCCTAGAGGAGACGGTGCAGGCCCTGCAGCCCCTCAGCCAGGCCCCTGCCCATGAGCCTGGCCACATGGAGCAGCCTGTCAGTCTATGAGGACCGCTGGGGGCCTGCCTGCCCTCCCCTACCTCCTCAGGAGGCTGGGGGTGGGTGGCAGCCCCTTCTATCTGGGGCAGCTCGGGTTTGCAGGCCTGTCCATGCCAAAGGGTCCTCAGGACCTCAGACCTTAGCCCAGATGCTGAATTTCGAGTCTTTGGGAGTGGGCCACAGCCACTTCTGGTGGTGGACTCTGCCCAGCACCTTCCAGTTTATGACCAACTCCAGCTACCTGAGCAGGTGGAGTAGGGTGGGCAGGGAAGAGGCCTGCAGCCCTAGGCACCCAAAGTAATAACTGCTCAGCCACCCACATGGCCTACTGCTGTGTCCACTGTGGCATCTTTTGTGGCACTGAGTCCTCACCTGACTCCGGGAACCAGGTGATTGTTCCCAATCCACTGCAAATGTACCGAGGTTCTATAAGGGGGAAGCACCAGTACAGGGAGAGCTCAGAGTCAGGGACATGGCCAGGCCTGGGACCCAGGGTCCTGCCCTCAAGGCAGTGCCACTGGCCAAGCTCAGAGGGGACCTAACACACACCAGACACAGATGGGTCCATGACAGGGAAGGGGCAGGCTCCCCACATGTCCCCTTGGGAGTGGATCCAGAGAGCAGAGCCTAGAGCCCAAGAAGGCTGCCTAGAAAGGGCAGGGGAGTTCTGGGGTTCCATGAGTTTCCCAGGGCTTCTAGACTGTAGGGCGTGTGCCTCAGGCCCCGGGATGTAGAGTCCCACCTGCCCAGGTACATGCATACTCTGGCACAGGCCCACATGGCCCACACGACTCCCCTGGGGGGGAAAACCCCCATGCAGACTAAGGCAACAGCTATTTTCAAGCTCAGGGCCTGCAGCTCCAGCTGCCTCTCTCCCTGCCACCCCGTCAGAGCTTTGTGATAACAGCTCGGGGTGGGACACACACGTGCAGGTGGGTGCACGAGCGCCTGGGCCCCACCTAGTGGCTGTGGAGCCTGATCCTGGGGGGGTCCCCAGGCCCACCCTGCACCCTCACTGGTCTCTCCAAGGCCATGCCACGTCTACCGTAGACGCCTCCGACTCCCTGTTCCTGCCTGTGAGGACCACACAGGAAGCTGCTGGCTCTGGCAGCTTTACTCCTCGACTCTCTGCAGCCTTGACATCAGCTTTCTCTGGGCCCCGAGGACAATGAGGCACACGTGATCTCGCTCCAATAATCAGGCCTCAGAGCCATGAACTCTCACCCCACCCCTTCTGACCCCACCTCCCATGGACACTTCTCTGGGGATTGAGAGGCAGCAGGGACCCCAAGGTTTTGCTAGGCTCCAGGTTCCAGGTGATTCCAGGTGCTTCCCAGCCTGGGCTGCAGCCTTGGGCCTCCCCAACCTGGCCCATGTCACCCCACCAGCAAGCTGCCAGCATGACCTGGTCACCAAGGACCCATGAGAAGGCAGCCCCTTACCTCCCTGGAGTGGGTACCCCCCAAATCCCTGCCCCTCCCTGGGACCAAGAGAGGGCTGGACTGCTGCAGCCCCCGTCCCTCCCCTCCTGACCGTGGGCCCGGGGACATGGGGAAATTCTCCAGCATGCCTAACTCAGGCCCCCGGGAGGATGCCAGAGCCAGAACCAGGCCACCCTGCTGGGGGCTTCCCTGGGCTCTGTTACAGGCATTGTCTCTGGCCCCTGGGCTACACCTGGAGTCTTGGTCAGAGCATGGTCCCTGTGCAGTTGCCTCAGGCTGAGGTGGCCAACTGCCCAGACACGCTCTCAGGTGTGACCTTGGCCAGCAGTGACGTGTGCAGATATACAGCCTCCCCACCCCTTGGCTCCCAATAGCTTGGTGAGCAGCTTCCTGGGCATTGGGTTGGGAATCACCAAGGAGACAGATAGAAGGTCCCAAAGGACCCCATGCCCACCAACTCAGCCCCTCTACCCTCCTCCCCATTCAGCCCCCCACAGCCCAAGGGCTGCCACCAGGAAGGCCCAAGGGCTGCCACCAGGAAGGGGCTGGTGCTCATAAGCTGAGCAGGTAAGGGCCCAAGAAGTGCCTGGTATCCTAGGGGGGGTTAGATCACCTGCTCCCTGCACTCGTCATTCCATGGATGAGGCCCAGAGCTGGGAGGGACCCTGCCCTAGGACCCCAGGATCAGAACAGCTGTGACAACTCTTGTCAGGCTTCTTTCTCCCCCACCTTGGACTCTGGCTGCACAGACCCCCGTGCAGGGTAGCTGAGAGGGCAGGGGTTCTACCTGTGGTGGCAGTGCTGGGGGGGGTGTGGGGAGGGCTGGGAGCCAGGCAGGGCCAGAGTTAACCACAGCCAGGGTGGTGGACAGCTGGAGAGCAGGGAGCTGTGGGGAACACTGGAGACAGAGCCCGGGAGAGCGTTCTCCAGCCCCAGCAGGAGCCCCACTGTTCCCCTGCAGGCCTCCATACAAAACTGGCTTCTGTGATCCCCAGGGAGCACCCCGCCGAGGCTGGAGCTGGGGGAGTGACAGTCTGTGTGGGAGCTGAAGGGTAGGATTTTTCCCCCACCCCCTGCCCTGGGCCTGCTAGGGCTTCATCCATGAGTCCGCTAGGCAGGGCCCCCACCCTTGCCAGTCCCTATCTCTCCCCCCAACTCTCAACCCCCAACCAGCAGAGAAAGGCTACAGGCCTCAGGAAAGGGCGAATGAGTGGGTGCCAGGGCCACCTTGGTGACAGTGTCCAGCTCCCCGCAGGTGGGGGTAGGTAAGGGGAAGGCTCTGCTGGTCCTGGGACCCTGCCCTGGGTGTCAGGGACACTTACACTGGCACAGTGTCACTCCACACGGCACCAGCCCCGGATCTCGCAGGTCCTGCGGGTCCCATTGAACACCACACACTGACCCGTGTTTATGCCTTGAAAACACAAGGCAAACTCCGGGCCCTTCAGTCTCCACAGGGTCTGGGAAGGGAGTGGCAGGGGGCTGTCGGCAGAAAGAAGAGATGCAGAGGCACCACTAGGCCTGCACGCTGGAGCCACCCGGGGTCCCAGCATGCCCCTCTGAACCCCCATCCCAGTGGAGGTGCCGGAAGACAGAGCCCTCAGCTATGTGGCTGTGCATTCCCGTCTCCCCTTCAGAACAGTCCTCGTCAGCCTGGCAGGTCCCCAGTGGATGGAGGGTGCTGAGGTGGTGAGAGAGCAGAGCTGTCCAGGCCCAGGAGGTGTCTCCCCTTCGTGGGATGCTCGGTATTGTCAGTATTTTTTTTTTCCCATGTGAGTCATTCTAATAGATGTGTGGTGGTACCTCAAGGTGGCTCTAATTTGCATTACCCTACTGCCTAATGCAAATCGAACATTATTTGTTGAGTTATTTGCCAACATCATATCCTCTTTGCTGAAATGTCTATTCATGTCTTTTGCCTGTTTTGGGGAGGGAGTGGGTTGTTTATTGTTTAGTCTGGAGAGTTCTTTGTATACTCTGGACACAGTTGTCTTAGTCTGCTCATACCACAGACTGGTTGACTTAACAGATATTTCTTTTCTTGCAGTTCTTGAGGCTGGAAGTCAGATATTAGGGTGTCAGCATGGTTAGGTTCTAAGGAGAGCTCTTTTTCTGTCTTGCAGATGGAACCTTCTCGCTGTGTGTTCACATGACCTCCTCTTTGTGGGTGAGGGGTGGTAGGGGAGGCAGAGGAAGACAGAGACATAGAGCTTTCTGGTGTCTCTTCTTTGAAGAGCACTGATCCCATCATGAGAGCCCCATCCTCATGATGTCATCTAGCCCCAATTACCTCCCGAAAACCCCATCTCCAAATACCGTCACATTTAGAGTTAAGTGTTCAACATAGGAATTTTGAAGGTAGGCACAAAATTTCAGTCCATTGCATTCTGCCCCTGACCCCCCCAAAATTCATGTCTCTCTGCTATCAAAAATACATTCATTCCATCCAAATAGCCCCAAAGGCCTTAACTCATTCCAGCATCTCTAAGGTCTAAAGTCCAAAATCTCATCTAAGTATCATTTAAATCATGTATGGATGAGACTAGAGCTACGATTCATCCTGAGGCAAAATTCCTCTCCAGCTGAGAACCTGTGAAACTAGACAAGTATTGTGCTTCCAAGATACAATGATGGGACAGGCATAGAACAGACTTTCCCATGCCAATAGAGAAAGACCAAAAATAAACATCTGTGATGCTCTAAAAGATTGGAACGACATTGAGATTCATGGAAGGCTACACCCAACAACTGAGGGTACACATTCTTTTCAAGTTCACATGGAACATTCCCTAAGACAGACTACAGGCTCGACAATAAAATGCGCCTCAAAACTATTAAAGAAGAGGACTCTGACTGTGTTATTTTGACCATAAGAGAATTAAATTAGAAATTAATAATAGGTATCTGAAAAATTGCCAAATATTTTGAAGTCAAGCAACATGCTTATAAAAAACCTGTAGGTCAAAGAAGAAGTGACGTTGGAAATGAGAAACTCTTTTGAACTGAGAGATGATTTTAAAGCCACATATCAAAACTGATAGGATGAGGCTGAGGAAGATCTTAGAGGAACGTTTCTATCTCTAAATGCCTATATTAGAAAAGAAGAGAGGAATTAGATCAATATTTGGAGCTCCCACTTTGAGAAGATGGGAAAGTAAAGTGACGTATGCCAAAGTAGGCAGGAGGAAGTACACAGTAAAGCAAAACACTGGAACACAGAAAGTGGAAAACACAGAATCAATCAAGAGAATCAACAGAAGCAGAAGGTAGTTCTGCAAAAAGATTGATAAACTTGACCTACCTCTAGCAACACTCATTAAAGACAAGAAAGAGAGGGAGGGAAAGAGAGAGGAATTAACAGTCTCAGGAAATAAAGACAGGATATCACAGCCCTCAAACCAAGAGGATTATTCTGAGGCTTTGAAACCTAAGTGAGGAACTCCTGCAAGTGTTTGTCCACCTTGATTTTCAAACTCTTTGGGGTCAATGACTCATTTTTACCTTCTTTTTTCTCCTTTTTTGAACTGGAATGTCTCTAATTTTTATCCAATGCCTGTCCCACCAATTGTCTATTGAGAACAGATCTCAAGACGGAGAGGAATTGTGCCCAGGAGCTGTACCTGATAGATTCTATTCAGGAGCCTCAGCAGCACCTGATGTGGACATTGAACTGATGCTGTCGTGGGATGAGGCTTTAGGAACCTTAAGAAGGTGTGAATGTATTTTGTATTTGGGATCTCTGGGGGCCAAAGGGCACATTGTGGTAGGCAGAATTTCTAGACTGGCCTCCCAAATATGTCTCACCCTAATCCCAGAACCTGTGAAGGAGATGAGATATCAGTCCTGTGATTATGATGTTATATGGCACAGTTCTCTTTGGGATGGGGCGATTATCTGGGTGGGCCAGGCCTAATCACATGAGTTCTTAAATGCAGAGAGTTTTCTCTGGGTGGTAGGAGAAAACAAAGCCAGAGACATTCGCAGCATGAGAAGGACTCGATGCCACATTACAGCATAGAGGATCTGAGGAAGGAGAAAGCCACCTGAGAAAGAATGCAGACAGTCTGTAGAAGCAGAGAATGGCTCCTGAATGACAATCAGCAAGGAAACAGGGACCTCAGTCCTTCAACTGCAAGGCACTGAATTATGCCAATGCAGGAGTGACCCTGGAAAGGGACGCTGAGTCTGGGTGAGAATGTAGGCAGCCATAACCTTGATTTCAGCCCTGAAACCCTCAGCAGAGAAGCCAGGCACACCATCCCAGATCCTGACCTACAGAGTCCACGATAATAAATGGGCATTGTTTTAAATGGCTGCGTTGGTGGTCATTTGTTACACAGCAATAGAAAACTAACACAGATGCTGTCTCTATTCTGCTGAGTTTCTGTCATCAGATACACATAATCTGATGCCGGCAGGAGCAAGAGTGTCTGCAACCACAGGGTAAGTCGTGCACGCACGTTTGTGTGACTTGTCCTGACCCAGTGCCTCTTGAGGAACACCATGAAAGTCATTTCAAACTCTCAAGGAATGGCTCTTCACACAAACCTCTGAAAAAATTAAAAAGATGCAGTGCTTAATTCTAAATTGACATTATCTGAGAAGTCATCATCCATTTCTATTTCCTATGTCAAATTTATGCAATCTCCTTGTACACTGGAGCTCACCTGCCAAGATTTTAAAGCAAGGACCCTTACTGGCACAGACAAAATTCTTCCATGACAACAAAAACCTCCAGTCTTATTAAATTTCCCCAAATAATTGAAAGTGCCACCAATGCAACCCCACCACCCGTTGTCATGAAAAATAGGGAAAAAGGGAAAAGATCCATTGTTGAAAGACCCACCTTAACAAACCTTTAAACTTGAAGGCCTTGTTTTCTGATTTTTATTTTTCTCGTGCCCAGTCATGCGGGCCTCACTCCATGGGATGGATGGTCCCCAGTTCACTGGGCTCTCTCTGGGAGGAAGTCAGGTTAACCAAACGACAAGTCTCTCCTGTGAATCAGTCCCTCATCCACAAAATCCAGAATGACATGTGAAGCCAACAAACACTGTCATCCCCAGCAAGCAATGAGTTTGCAGTGCTATCTGCTGCCCAGCTTATCTAACAGAACAGACATGACAGAGATAGCAGATAACAGAGAAAAAAAAGGGTATCCTGGTTTCAGCTTTTCCAGGGTGCCAGTTAGTTGGGCTACTTGCCCAGAGTCCAATTCTGTGGTAACTCCTGTGGGCAAATCTCCCAACAGGGGTTGATTGCTGGCAAAAAAAATTGCAGGTCCTGGTACTATGCATGTTGGCAAGAGGTTGGAGAAAAGAATATTCTCATAAACGGTGAGACTGTGACTTGGTCCCACTTCTTTGCAGGGCACTGAGGAGGGAGTTAGCAAAAGGGAGAAATGCACGAGTACTTTGATCAGGCAATTCCATTACAAGGAACCTCTCCTAGAGAAGAGTGCTAGCGAGGAGGGATATATGTGTAAGGGGCTCCCCTCCAGCACTGTTTGTAACCGTAAACGTTGAAACCAATTTCACGTCCATCAACTGGGAAATGTTTCAATGCATAATGACCAGTCCACACCATGAAAGGCTACGCAGTCATTTAAGAGAACACAGGAGATAATGAAAATGCTGAGTGATGGGCTGACAAGAACTCCTGTATAGTGAGTATTTACTATGTGCCAGACACTGGGCTCTGATAAGGTCAAATTTTACCAGAGCCTTGTGATCCTGGGGAATAGGGCAGGTTAAGAAATCCTGGGACCATTTGCGTCCCCGTCAGTATGGCTGACTGCAAAGAACTGCCCTTTCCACATGACTCAGATGACACACATGGACACCTTCCTTGTCTACTTATGACAAGGCCAGACACAGACCCTCCCATTTCCACTCTTTGCTTCACACAGGATCAGCTGAACTGCTGGAGACACTAACCGATTAGAACAAAATGATTGTTAATCCAACTCTGGTTAAGTCTCTCTCCTTCCTCCAAGCCCCGGAATTTTGACCCGTCTGCAGCCTGAACTGAGTGTAGGCTGGTGTCAGGATGGCACATTCCCTGATCTGCTGTCTAATCAAGCCCCTTTCATCTTACTTGTCCACACGTGGCTCTTCGCCCCTTGCTTACTGCCCCCATAAAAGGAAGCTCTTTTGTCTGACCCTTGAGACACTTGCAGATCTTACAGTCAAGGCTAGACTACTTCGCATGTAACTTGTTTGGTTAGATTTCAGTTGCGATCTACATTCATTTTTTTTTTAAGATTTTATTTTTCCTTTTTCTCCCAAAGCCCCCAGTGCATAGTTGTGTATTTTAGTTGTGGGTCCTTCTAGTTGTGGCATGGGGGATGCCGCTTCTGCATGGCTTGATGAGCGGTGCCATGTCCACACCCAGGATCCAAACCAGCGAAACCCCGGGCCGCCAAAGCAGAGCACACGAACCCAACCACTCAGCCACGGGGCAGCCCCTCTGCATTCATTGTGACATAACTATAAAACTAAATGAAATTTTCAGAAATTTCACCTCTTGACATTGAAAACACAAGGCAACAAATGAACCCAACTGTGTATCCCTGTTGTAGAACAACCATGTGGATTAGAACTCTTCCAAGAGACTCTCAAACACAATAATTTATCTGTACTCCAAGAGAGTGACAAAACCAGAAGCCACTTTCCTCAAGCGTGTTATTAGTGGTGGTGTTGCTATTGTCTGTATTGTTTTGTTTATATAAATGAGGGGAAAAAGTAAATGAGACATTTTGGGATATTCTAATTCTATTACTCCCAGTGTCCTTTAAAACAAAAACTGCTCAGTGTTAGAGAAAGGAGATTCAGGTGAAAGATAGACAGCCGATAAAATCCTGACAGTGGCAGCCCCGTTGCCTAGTGGTTCAGTTTGGCATGTTCGGCTTCAGCAGCCTGCGTCCAGTTCCCGGGTACGGACCTACACCACTTACCTGCCAGTGGCCATGCTGTGGCAGTGGTTCATATACAAAAGAGGAAGATTGGCGAGAGATGTTCGCTCAGGGTGAATCTTCCTCAGCAAAAAAAGAAAAAACCCCTGTAGTTCCAAATTAGAATTGGCAGTGTTGGTGAATATACGGGAGTACATGAATACGTATGAACATAAATGTGCATTTCCTAGTTCTGTCCACTGGAAACTAATGAATGGCAATGAGTACCTCTAGGATACACAGTTGGATCTGGCAAGACCATTTTGCACAAAAAGAAACCAGAGTTTGTTAAAGAAATGGCTGAGTCAAGGAAGGAGCAGTAAATATTCAAGATGAGATAGAAACACCTTGTCATCCTGATATCAGGAGAGGTCTCAGAGAGTATTAGCATGTTATCAAAAGGATTAAGGGGCCATCTTGAGCTCACATTCTTTGCTGAAAGGGAGGATAATTGGAGCATCAGTAAGGACCATATTGCAATGGATTGAACTGCTTCCATGTGTCTGAATCCTAGAGTTCA